CGCCCCCGCCGTCGACAACCCGCCGTGCACAGCAGACGAGATTGACGCTTTGATCTCATGCGAGGTCCATGCAACACCTGGCCCACTACGCGAAGCCGTCCTCTCTCACATGATCCATCGGTGCAATGCTTCCTGCCACCCCGACGACCCCGAGCAGGAATGCCTCAAAGGCTGCCCATGGCATTTCCAGGACTCCACCGAGCTCGACGCACAAGGCTACCCGCATCATCGCCGGCGCCCGTGCAATGGCACTTGCCCTAATTGCCAGTCCAATGGCCCCGCCTACGGCCGCCGCAACGTATGTTGCAATCGGCTCGTCGTCGAGTACTCCCCTCGAATACTGCTGAAATGGGACGGCCATGCAAACGTGAAATTCGCCGGGTCTGTCAACCAGTTCGAATACCTATTCAAATGCCTGTTCAAGGGTCCGGACCACACGCTGTGCTCCATTGGATCAAACGATCAAGCAGTGGATGAAATTACGGACTGGCTCCGCGGGCGCTACCTCGTGGCCGCCGAATGCGCGTGGAGAATCTTCGGGTACACCACCTACGACCGCGCCCCAACAGTTTCATGCTTACCCCTACACCTTCCAGACGAGGACAGGGTTGCATTCTCCGAAGGTTTCGAGGCATATGCGCTGGACCACAGCACGTCACAGCTCCAGCGCTCCTTCTACCGCCCCATGCATGAGCCCTTCAAGAGTTGCATGTACAACGAATATTTCGAACGGTTCATTGTCGGCAAGGTCTGCCCCGTGAGCTTCCGATGCTTCATTCCCTGGGGCGTTCGGCACTCACCTCGCCGTGCCCCCCGAGCGCGATTGGCCAGTTCTGTCCCAACGGTGGCATCGCACCCCCAAAGACATTGCCGTCCGACAATGCGTTGACATGGCGCCTGGAAGTCACCAGAACTACGCGTGCGTCCGGAGCCGCGGTGAACCGCCCGTGTGTCGATTGGAGATGAAGTATCCCCGCCAGAAGGAAGTCTTCTACCTCCGACAGATGCCCCTGCACTTCCCCAAACAGAGCTTCCAAAATTGCCTCTGCCACCACGGCCGCAAATATCCCGCGTGCGAGGAGGCCATGCTCGCGACAGGCATGTTCGCGAAAGATGGCGAGGCCTCCCGAGTACTCCAAGAACTCGTCGACTTGCGCTACACAGCGCACCAATTGCGATTCGCGTTCGTCGCCCCCCTCGACCTCGACGCGACGCCAGTCACGTTGCACAACAAGTTCGAGAAACACTTGCCCAAGGACTTCTTGGACAGAGGCCTCGCTTTCACCACGGCCCGCGAGGAGTGGCAGCGCTCTTTGCGCATGGCCGCGGCCGCGCAGGACCGACCCGAGGTGCTCAATTTCTTAGCTGTTCCCGCGCCTGCCGCCTCGCCCGCCGCGGCGAGACGCCCCGCGCTCTCCGCTGCCAAGACTTGCGTGCTCTCCTGCGTAAGGGCCCGCGCCAGCACGCGGCCACGACCGCAATAGTCCCCGGCATTGACGCTCTCCAGTCCAAATTCATTTTCGCCCACGGCGCTGCCGGCACAGGGAAGTCAACCATAGCGAAGTACATCCACCAATGCACAGAACACAACGGCAAGTCGTGCGTCAACGTCGCCACTGCCGGCCAAGCGGCCATGAGCGCGCGCGCGCTCCTCCACTACGTGGGACTCCTTCGACCTGTGCGCCCTGACGACGAAGCACCGCCAGCGCAGAGATGAACGCTGCGCCGCATGGCTAGAGACCATCGGCGACGGCGCCGCGCCCGCCACGCACGCACTTGATGGTGCGCCCGGCTACCTGGAGTTGGCATTGTGCCCTACCCTGCTGGACCCCCGCCAAGCCATCGACTTCTGCTTCCCCAACCCCAGCGACGCCCGTGCTTGCGCTTCATGCAAGATTTTGGCAGTCACTAGCGACATCGTGGACACCTTCAACGATTCGACCCTCGATGTCCTCACGCAGACGTACCAGCGAGCAGAATTTCACCGTTTCAGCGCAGACTCCGTCGATATCGACCGAGCGGACACCTTCGTCGAACCGCGCGCGCCACCAGAGTTCCTCAACATGCAGACCGAAAACGTAAGGGCAGACAGGGTTACGGACAGACAGACACGCAAGCAGTGGGAACCCATTGAGACCCTCCGCTGGGCCCCAACATGCCTCAGTGGAAGTGACTAAGTGCCCATGGACTCCCCTGCAGCCCTCACCCACGAGGGCCCCTTGGGGTCAAACCTTCGGCAGGCCATTCCATCTACGCAAACTGTGGGAACCCATCTGGCTGCGCGAGCTCCCCTCCGATACAAGTCACAGACAGACAGACGCCAGCCTGCCGGACAAAGTGACTTCCCTAGGACCGTTCCAATCTTCCATGCTCCCGACCGAACTCGGCGATTCTGCCGTCGACGCAAGCTGCGGGAACCCTTGGGTTCTCCAATCCCGCCACAGCGCGTGGCAGTGAACAAGTGCCCATGGACTCCCCTATAGCCCTCGCCCTCGGGGGCCCTCTTCGGGTCAAACCTTTCAGAGGCCATCCCATCGACGCAAGTTGTGGGGGCCCATCTGGCTCCGTAGGGCTCCGGGCTTACGCCCCCTTAAGGGCTTTGCGTGCAATTTTGGAAAAACGTCTGCGCCGCCGTTTCATGCCATTTGAGGCTCGAGATTGCATCGGCATCGCCGCAAGCGCTCCTGCACCTACAATTTGCGGCTCGCGCGCCCCTTGGCCTCCGCAGTGCCTGCGAAGTCGGCCATCAAGAACGCGCTACTGGACACCTCGAAGACTCCGGCCACTTCGGCCGCTGACGGCCCGCGGCAGCACGCCTCCCTCTACACCATCGTCATGGCGTTCGACATGATTGACACAGCGCACAACAAGAACGCCGGGGCCCGCATCACCTTCGACGGCAGCACCTTGAAGTCCACGCAGCCCGCCAAGCGCCACGGGCTCAGCACCCTGACTGCCCGTGCGCTCGAGCAGGTGCACTCCCGAGCCGCCGGCAGGTGTCTGCAAACAGACGGCAAGCCTCCTTCCCCCCATGGCTGCGTCGAACCCCACTCAGGGCCGCAGCTGGGCCTGGGTGGGGGCAGCCTACGGGAATTCGGACGCAGCGGCCATGAAAGCTTCCACCTACATCGGCGACCTCACCATTCAGCTGCTGGACGAGCGCTTCTTCTCAGACTTCTTCTTTGCCGACTTCGAGGTTCCGGCCGCGCCCGCGTAGACGCCTTGGACGGTGAAAACGAAGATGCTCAGAACCGGCTCTCCATCGCGCGGCGCGGCACGAAGCTCACGTCGGAGTCCTACACCATCGCGGAGCTTACGAACTTCACCCTGGCACTCCACCCGAACGTGCCCATCAAAGCGCAGAACAAGTTGCGCGCCTGGGCGGCCAAGCACAACGCCTTCGTGACCATCGCGTCGCCTACGACCACGTCCGCCGCTTCTTCCGCGCCCGAGGCGCCCACCCACGCGGCCATCAAGAAAAAACCAGCTGCCAGGCAGGGCGTCCTGAAGACCACTTTGAAGGCGAAGTGGCGCCCCAGCGCGCGCCGAGCGCCCCCGCGGCACCGCCCGCTGCGGCCCGCCGCCCCGCGCTGCGGATAGTTGCCGATGCAGCGCAGAAAGTCCGTCCATTCGTCGCTTCACGTCTCCGTGCATTCTTCGCTGTCCGCCGCGTTCAAAAGCCTCGCCGAACTCGGCGATTCTGCCGTCGACGCAAGCAGCGGGAACCCCTGGGCCCTCCGAGCGCGCCGCAGCGCGTGGCAAGCCCTCTTGGGATTCAACCTTTGGCCCGCCATGCCCGGGCCCGGCTGTTGCCCCCTTGACTGGCGCGTCGCGACGCGTGGAAAGGCGGCCACGCGGCGGGGGGGGGGAGGTAGAGGGGGGGGGGGGAGAGGAGGAAGGCGGAGAGGGAGGAGCAGGAATAGGAGTACGAGCGGGGAGAGGAAGTTTTTCCTCTGCGAGCCAGTGGGCAGGACCGAGGGCGGCGACAGTTAGCCGACATGCGCGCACAGATGTGCGACAAACAAGACTGTGCTTGGCTGACCTACTTGTTAGGTTAAGCACAGCCTTCTCACCGCTGGGCACTGTCGCCCACGGGAGAAAAGCCCCACACGAGCATGTGGGCGCAAACGGCCGCCACGCCGCGCATCAACACCCAGCCGCATCGCGCCCCCTGCCAGCTGCCACCAGCAACCCGCGCCCACAGTTGGGCCGCGCACGTCCAGCCAACGGTTAGGCACCAGGACATTGCCGCGAGAGCCGCTGGGGAAGCAAGCAGGATTCACTCCGCATTTAGGAATCGAAAGCATATGCATGGAGACCAAAACGAGCTCACCGTTGAGCTATGAGCGGCATGCCTCGCGCTGCCCTAGCAGGCAACGCGAGAGAACACAAGAGCCAGCAGCGGCTGCAGCCTCACGCGCCTGCGCGCGAGGAGCGCGCCTGCGCGCGCGGAGAGCGCACGCCAGGGGGGAAAATAGACTCTATCTGTCCCGAACAGCAACGCTTAGCTTGAGACAGAAAAGTCAGCAGAGGCGGCAACAGTTTAGCCACAGATGAGGCACAACGAATGCCTTAGCCAGCGCTGGCATCCTTCGATGCCGCTTCACGGGCCTGCACTCTCGCAAGCAAAGCCGCCATCCTCTCGTTCTGAGGGAGGGCAGAGAGGCCTGAGCGTTGCTGCGACGACGCGGGCCTGGACGCATCAACAGGCGGAGGCGTCTGCGCAGCATAGCATAGAACATGCACACCCCGCCTAGACGAGCGGGACGTCCTCTCATCCTCGTTCCTACAATAAGGATGGAGGCCTGACAGTGCAATGACAGAATGCCCACGGCGCCTACCTACGGCACGGGCGCCTCCAGGCATCCGACAGGATCGACGGTCAACTCCAGGCGCGCGAAGATCACGACGGTCACCTCCAGGCACTCGGAGCTGACGAACTCCTGGCTCGCGAAAAAGACGACGGCCACCTCCCGGAGCACGAAGAACACGATGGCCACTCAAGCGCCCTCGAACACCTCCAGGCCCTTGATCGCCACCAGGCCATCGCCCACGCCGAAGCCCCCTACCACGTCCAGGCCCTGGATCACGAAGGGCACCTCCGCACGCCCGAAGCCGACGGCTGTCACCTCCAACCTCGCCAGGGAGCTGGGGGGGCCCAGGCTGCGGTCCACCATGTGCACGATCATTCCCAAGCACACGACAAAGACGACGGTCATCTTTGAGCACGCGAGAACATTGATGGTCAACCCCAGACACACGAAGATTACGATGGTCACCTCCAGGCCCTGGAACACCGACGGACGCATCGAGGCCCGTGACCACCGCCAGGCCCTGCATCTCCTCCAGGCCCACTATGTCCTCCAGGCCTAGGGTCACGTCCATCACCTTCTCGCACTCGACCATGACGATGGGTACCTCTATGCACTCGCAGATGCCGACGGGTACCTCCAGGCACACGAGGGTCGGGACGGTCACCTCCATGCACTCGCAAAACAGGTCGGTCACCTTCAGGCACTCGCATATCACGCCGTTCACCTCCAGGTAGTCGACGATGACGGCGCTCACCTCCAGGTCCTGGAGCATTTCGAAGCCCTTGAACACCACCGGGGCCTCAATCACATCCAGGTCCACGATCGCGTGCGAGTCCTGCGCGGCAAACACCTCGGAGCGCCAGCTGGCGACATCGGCATCGACCAGTACCACGAAAAGGGCGCCGTCGGACTTCAGCTTCGCACCCCCGGTGAACTCGCCACTCATCAGCACCGCCGAACTCCCATGGCTCGCAGGGACTGCTGGCGTTTCGAAGAAGACCCCTGCAAGGCTCGAGAAACGCTCGAGCCCGAAACGCCTAGCGGGGAGAGGAAGGGCAAAAAAGAAAAAGAGGAGGACAAGGGGGAGGACACCGACCAACAGCAGCAGCACCAGCGGGCACTTAAGACGAGAAGGCCCCAGAATGTACAAGTTGGGGCCCAACCCAACATTGCCTGTTCAAATACATGAGCTTGCAGGCCCACCCCCCGCCTCGCCCCATATCACGAGACCCGTTCCCAGCACGACTGGAAATGTGGGCCGCGCACCGGAACAAGCCACTGCACTCTGTAGCCCCGACTTCTCTTTCGTACGTAGCCACCTTGGCCCAAGCCGACGCTGGGAAGCAACCTGGGGCAGGCGGGCGCTGCCATGCCTAACCGGCCGAAGGTTCGGTTTTGTGTGAAGCACCCACACCACCGGTTGACCAAACGCGGTCACTGCTGGTTGTGGAAGGGCCTCAAGGAAAGGTTGCGAAAGGGAGGTCGGCTCGGAGGTCGGGCTTCTGGCGCCTGCAAAGCCCGGTCTAGGCCGCAGAACGCCAAATTCCGAGCGCGGCGGGGCAACTTCCGGACGTGGCGGCCCGGCCACTTCCGTCACTTTCGCGATGTTCCAGGTATTGTTGGCGAGCCTGCACAAGGCCCGCGAGCAAAGGAAGGCCAGGCCCTTCCTCCGCCTGGGCTCCTTGCCTTCGTGGATCACAGCGGCGCCAGGCATCGAGGATGCGTTGCGGGTCATGAGCGGCGCCCGATTTGGACACCCAGATCGGTTCAGAGATAGAGTCTCCAAGGAGATCCGCAGCGCGGCGGTGCATCTCCGAGACCCGTCTTTGCAAGCAGCGGTTTGCATTGGCGCCAGGTACCGCCAGAGCCCCCGGATGCTCGCGCACCGCCTCGCTGCGGCGGGGCGTGGCGGATGCTTCGCCGCGGCTCTCACGAAAACCAAGCGCGGGTTCCGCACCTACCGGCAGACGGGCCTTTCCGACCGCGCCCTTTGCCGCAGCACCGTGCCGGCAGCAGAGGCGTGCGCGACGTCGCGCCCGTACCCGGACAGGGAGAGCCTCGAAGACGAGGTGGCCCGACAGATGCGCAAGCATTGCCGGGGCCGCGGGCTAGAGCACTTCTCCGCCCGCCAAGCAGCGGCTGACCTCAGCCAACTCCCCGGTTGGGTCACGGGCCTTGGCCCCGGCGCCCGGCCCGGCGAGTCTCGCGTGGGGCCCGGGGCGCAGGCCGGCCACTGCCTCGCCGCGGCGGCCGTCGGCACCCGCCATGGCCAGATGCCGGCCACCCTGCCGCACCAGGAGCAGACGGAGAAGTGCGAGTACGGGAAGTTGGTGTGCCGACTCAACTTCGCCGCTGCTGCTTCCGCGGCCCGGTACACGCCCGCCGCGTCTTGAAATACCTCCTGCGCTCGTGAGAATTCAGCCGCGCGGTGGGGGCGCGTTGGTTTGGACACCCGCACGCAGCACATATAAAAAATACATCGACATGTGGCGCCTAGATCTGGATTATGTTTGTCGGGGCACGGTCTCGCCCCTACCGCCAATAACGACAAGGTTGCGTCTCTCTCGTGGTTCCCAGCTACTGTTTCGGTATGCGCTAGGGAGCAGGAGGCTCCCGAGACACGAAAACAACCAACAATCCATCGACAATTTACGTCTAAATCTAGAAAATCTAGCTGTGTGGGCCGCCATATTACCTCTGCCGCACGTCGCGACCGCGTTGCGTCTCTCTCATGGTTCCCGGCTACTGCTGCGGTATGCTCTAGGGGGCAGGAGGCCCAGGAGGCACGAAAGCAACCAAAAATCATCGAACATCTGCGTCTAGATTAAAAAAAAAATGGCTCTGGGGGCGCCATACTACCTCTGCCGCCGACGCCGACCACGCAGCCTATCCCTCGTGGTTCCCGACTAATGTTTCGGCATCAACCAGGGAGCATGAAGCCCCCGAAACATGAAAACAACAACAACAAGCAAGATCAAAGAAGAAGTAACAGACAACCGGAGGAAAGGAGGATATGAAATACGACAAATAGGTAGCGGAGGAGGCCGCGCAACGCGCAGAATCGTGCGGCGGCGGCGCCGCCGCGCGCGACCAGCCAGCCCGTCTGGCCGTCTGCCATGCCCCCGTCCCCGCCCCTCCCACCTACTCCCCGCCCCTCCCTCCGCGCATCCGTCCACCCCTCCAGCTTCTCGACTCCCACGCCTCCCGCCATGCTCCCTCAATCTCGCCCCCATTGCCGCCTTTCTTTCCAATCCGCACTTCCTAATTTTTCGTGCCTGTCTCGTCCGGCACGCGCCCAGACCCGCACACCACTATAGGATAAGGAACAAGATGTTGTGGCGAAGCGAAGCGAGCCAACACGATCTTGTATATATATATATATACATATATATATATGTATATATACATATATATATATATATATATATATATATGTGTATCCATCTTTCCATTCACTCTCGCGCCAGAGAGAGCTTCTCGACGAGGCTCGAAGACTGTAAAGCCGTGCGTCGCGAGAGGCACAGATCTCGCAGTGGCAAGAGGCTGGTAACCCAACCGCACTGCTAGCCCAGTGGAGTGTGGGCGGGGACCCGAAGTCATTCCGCCAACAACCTCCGAGCCAGCAGGACGGCGGGCTACCAACCCCTCAGAGCCACGGAAGAGCACCCCAAAGAAAGGGTGGAGCGAGGGAGGGGACCGAACAAGTCGGACTACAGACACAGAAGTCAACTGCTTTCAAATCAGTCTGACAAGCCGAATTTTTCTGTTACGCTGGGGATTGGGGATCCCGGGATCCCCGCCATGGGGCGTAACAGAAAATATGCCACAAATCTGTGGACACCACGGCGCTCTCGCAACATTCAGATGGATTCACCCGCAAGCTAAGGAACATCCATCTTTCCATTCACTCTCGCGCCAGAGAGAGCTTCTCGACGAGGCTCGAAGACTGTAGAGCCGTGCGTCGCGAGACGCACAGATCTCGCAGTGGCAAGAGGCTGGGGGCGCGCTGGCTGCAGGTGGGCGGGGCGCCGGCGCCCTGCCGCAGGATGAGCAAGAGGCCGGGGCGGAGAGGGGGCGCACCGGCGGGCGTGGGAGGGGGGGGGGTGGGCGGGCTGCGAGGGGGGGCCCCATGCTCGACCACAGGCGGCCTTCCGCCAGAAAGCCGAGCCCAAGACCCCCAAGGCGTCTCCTGGCGGTTGGTGCGGGGGCGCCACGCTCGCCACAAAACCAGCAGAAGCCTCCAGACCCAAGAGGCCTCGGGCACCCTGGAAGCAAGCAGGGTGTCTCTTGGCACGGGCGTCCACTGTAAAGGGGGTCCGCGCGCAGGGGGCGCGCTGGCGGCTGCCGAGGACGGCGGATAGGGGGCCAGTGCCGCGCTGAAGCACCAGGTGGCCGGAGCTCTAGGCACGCTGCGCAAGAGAACACTGGAGAGAGAGGCGCGGCCCCGCGGCGGCAGGCTGCTCGTGCGCGCCCGTGTCCAGGGCTACCAAGAAAAACACATGTCTCGGGTGTGGCTAGAAGTGCCCCTGGCGCAAGGTGCCGCCAGCCTTTCGCTCCATTCTGGAGCCTCATAGGGGTCATCTGTGCCTCGTGAGGGATGCTCTGGGGGCCGACTGGGCCTCCCCCCGAGAATCCTGGGGGCATCTGGGGCCAGGAGCACTTCTAGCTACAGCCGACTGTTTACGGGGGTGGCCTGACATGTCGCTCTCGCCTGAGAGCTGAGCACCTTTATCTTCACAGACACCAGCTGCTGTACGAATGGAGGGCGGCCCATTCTCGAAGACGAAACTGGGATGAGGATAAAATCGGGTGAGGAAAAACCAAGACTCTCTGAGATCTGGCAGTTCTGGAAGATGTCTCGGGCGCCGCGGCCTTCTCAGAGCGTTCCAGAGCGCTCCGAGAGCGTCATTCCGGGGCGCTCTGGAACGGATGTATCATCGTCGTTGGGGACCTGGAAAACTCCCCCCCCAAAAAAACTGTGATGATTCAAAACAGTTTTTTCGGGACTTCGGACTTCTTCCAGCCCCTTCCAGGCCAAATCCGCTCAGGCAGCCTGAAATAAAAAACATTGGTTGTTGCTTCTTCTGATTTTTGTTGAACCCGCACAGGCTTTCTTCTGGAACCCTCACAGTGCTCGTAGCCCTAAGACAAGGAAACCTGTGACTGGCATTGAACAGCAATGAAATCCAATAGATAATATATAACAACCTGTGAGGGCTCTAATAGCCAAAGATTTTCGAGCGAAGGACCATTCCTCCTCATTCCTCCGCCTCCTCCTCCTCCTTCTTTTCCTCCTCTTCCTCCACCTCCTCCTCCTCTCTCTCTCTCTGTCTCTCTTTGCTTGGATTGGTGTCTTAGTGTGCCCAAGACGTTGTCGTGTTGTTTTTGATTGTACGGATTTCATATTGTTTTGGAGTGTATGACTTTCGTGATGATTTTGATTGTATGGACTTATGCTTCTTCTTGAGTGCATGAATTCCTTATCGTTTTTGATT